CATATCCCGACAAAATTGGAACAATATCATCTGTCATGTGATGGATTCTAGAGTAGCATTGAGAAGGGAGAGATTGCTCAATGGGGCATCAATCAAACTAAAGGAGCCAAGAACAGTTCAATTTGCTTGTTCCGATTACCTCAAGAGTCAAGCCTTTCTACCTTTCTTGTCTTGAGTTGAGATGCCCATCAAAGGGCATTTAAATTGGATTAAGTTAATCCAAACGCTGAAAAGCATCTACAAAGCTTGCAAGATTCCCGGAGTTGTGGGCTGAAAAGCTTAATAATAAATGTCATTCCTCATCGCCATCTTGAGTGGAAAGGGAACAACTCTTCAAAGTCTGGGGTTCTCTTGAATTTGTCCCCCTCAATTTTTCCTTTCTTTATTATTAAATTTAAGATTGGGCATATTTATGGAATACAACATGGAGCCCGGGAGGTTACTGCGGGCTTTTGACATGTGGCAGATGTCTTAGGGGGTGCAAAAGAGGCTTTGGTTTTTACATTTCTGCCATTCTGACTGGACAGAATGTCCCCTTGAAGGATGCAGTTGAAGACCAGCATTTTGCCACCTACATACCAGCCATCATCTGCGGAGATTCGTTGTCATACAATTCATATTCCTTCCTTCAAGTTCAGGATGCTAGAAAGAGGCTATATCAGATATGGGAAACTGTCATACTCATAATTTTGTTAAAGATGTAATCTACTTATGACTGTAATTAATTTAAATTCAATGACTGTTAGCCTGGAGCATTTGAACTTTTCCATTTTCTTTTTCTATAATACTTTTAACTCATTTAGTATGAAGCATTCAATTTTGTCTCAAATCTGTTTGCTGAACCTCAGTGCCGATTGTTTTGAGTATGACAGAGAACTTTAATTATGATATTAATCCTACTTTTGATCCCGAGGAGTCCTCCAGCAATATATTTAGAACTTGAAAGTTTCTAATTATGACAATATATATCTACAAAAGAAAATGTAGGAAAAGGAAGACCTGGTTATAGTGGTTGAAAATCAAAGTTTTATGCTCATGGAAGCATGACATACCAAATATCACGAAGTATATGCTCCTTCAATTTGATGTGAAGTCGGTGAGGAAAGCATATTTGGTGCTGGGTTCATCCCACTCCAGTCCATCCCACCAGTCCTTAGTGCAGTACACTGTTGGCAGGGTTGAGGAATTATGGTTTCTGATTGGTAATTTCTTAAGCTGTGGGCAATCAATCACGGCAATGCTCTTCAAGCAGGGGAAAGCCAATGCCCATGGAGTGATACTCCTCAATTCAGGGAGGTCACGGATGGATATAGTTTTAAGCCTTGAAAATGCCCGTGAATCAGGCTCTAGTTTCTCTACTCGGCTTACCAACTCTTCCATTTCCTTGCAGTAGAACAAGTAAATTACTTCTAATCTTGGAAGTAATAACACCCATGAAACATTCTTCAATCTATGGCAATACCAGATATTCAACAAGCGCAGATTTTGCAGGCTTGCTTTTCTCACTGGGGTTTTCCACACTGAAGATACATTGGGTAGGCCTTGCAAGGCTAGAACCTCCAGGTTAGGCAGCCACGTTTCTCGATCCTCGCCATCCACTACCAAGTAATTTAAATCATAACAGTTTCTGATGCTAAGTCTTCTCAATGTGTTACCATAACCGGAAGCTGAAGACAATTCTAATTGGGATAAACCTTCACACTCCTTTATGTGTAAATATTGTATACATCCAACTAAATTTCTCAGACCAGAGAGCCTGTTCAGGGAGGTTATTGTGGAAATGGTTAAACCAAGGATGCGGAGGTGTCTCAAGGTCTCCAATTCCTCAAATCCGACTTCAGCTTCACCCTCAACATTCTGAATTTCCCAACCGTAACTGTAATACAAATTCAGGACCGCCAAATCTGCAAGTCCAGATATAGCCTCACGTGGAACTGTTCGAAGAGAGTATGTGCGCAAGAGATTCAAGTGGTTCAGCTTTGTTAAACTTCCTAGCTCTTTAGGCAATGCGGTTATTTTTGTAGCTGCTAAATTAAGATGACGCAACTCTACTAATCGATTGATGCTCACCGGGATCTTTCTGATGCTTGTAAATGACAAATCCAGGACCCTCAGAGCAGACATTGACTGAAAAAAGTCATCTGATATGCGATTCAGACCGTTATTCCACTGAAGCAGCAGAGTCAACAGATTTGGGCACTTATGTATTCCTTTTAGTACTGTGATTCCATTGTCTAACAAGGAAATCCTCTCTGCTCCTTCCCAGTTTTTAACTCCAGGCGCTTCAGTGAGGCCCGAGCTTGCCTCCATCAAAAACTTTCCCTTGTTTAGACCAGATTCAGATGCTATCCATAAGGCAAAACTTCGGATAACATCATTCATCTTTACTTGGGTTTCTTCTTCGCCTGTTTCCAATAAGCAGGCTACTTTTAGGGACCCAATTGCAGCATACCCTTTATTATGGGCATTACTGTCATAAGAACTGTCCAGGAATCCTTCCCCAATCCAGTACTCTACAAGCTGTTCTTTCTCAATGGAATAGCTTTCAGGGAATAGAGCACAATACAAAAGGCACATTTTTGTAGTTTCATTCTCCAAATTGTCATAGCTAAATCTTAGGAGGGTAAATACATCTTCCATACCTCGAAGTTCAGATGGAGATTTGTTGAGTAATTCAATTGCATACTTCCATTCTTCTTCGGTCTCCTTATTCGCCATGGCTCTCCCCACAGTGATCAAGGCAAGTGGTAAACCTCCACATTTTCTGACAATGGTCTCAGCGTAATTTCTAATAGGTGGTGACTCTAAAATCTCCATTCTGCCGACCTTCTCACAGAATAATTGCCATGATTTCTCCTCGTCCAAGAATTCTACTTTTAGCTTCCGATGTGCATCCATGTCAGCACACACGTCCATGGAACGTGCTGTAAATATCAGCTTGCATTTATTTTTCTCATCAGGAAGAGGAATTCCAATATCCCCGAGATCAATTCTTTCCCAAACATCATCCAGCAATAGGAGGAATCTCTTCTTTTTCAAAACATTGTAAATCTTTGAAGTTCGTAGTTCACTGGCTTCAGTTTCTTCCCAGGGCAATCCTAACCTTGCCACAATGGCCTGTTGGATCTTGCTCACTACAAATTCCTTAGTGACCAAGACCCATATAACTACATCATAATTGTGAGCTCGGCCGAGAAATGCATTATTGACGGTCTTCAGAAGGGTTGTTTTCCCTACTCCACCTATTCCATATAATGCAATAATTCCCACTTTGTCCTCCTCAAGAAACACCCAGACCTTGTCTAACATCAGGCTGATACCAACAGCTGGCCTACATGGTTTCTCCTCAACAGGAGCAGGATGCGGCTCTGTCACTAGTTTCTCAAAAGCTCCTTTCCCCTTCAGTTCACTTATCTCCTTCAGCTTCTCTATAATCTCCTTGCTCAAATTGTATTTTGAACAGCAATTTACACTTAAGCACCCCAAGCCATGCCTACTCTGTCCAAGATTCTCTATAATGGAGGTAGCCTCAGCTTCAATAACTTCTACTCTTGCCAGCCACCTCTGGATTTCATTTGTACGTCTTGATCCGTTCAGTTCAGCTCGCTCAACGCGTGACCTTAAGTCATCTCTCTGGTCCTTGAGTTCCTCCACTTCAGTTGTGAAGGACTGTATCCTTCTGTCCAAATGGATAACGTTGCTTATCCGTGGAGCCATAGCTGTGCATAATCTGTCAACTATGCTGATCAGAGGGGAAATGAAATCCATGGATAAAAACCTTAATGCGCTTGAGCAGAGACTGTTATGCCAAAACTGCTAATAGTTGCTTTCTGAATCAAAAATTCAAGTAAACCAGAGTGCCTATGCGGGTCGAGACCCTACCTTAGATTAAAGAATAATCAATTCAATGAAATTTCCATACCCGCCGGCGGTATTGAAGTGATTGATCACCAGCCTGTCTTAAGTCTAGAAGTCTAGAAGTCAAAGCCGCCAGAGTTGAAACCTTCAAACTGAATGGCTATAGTTGGCCAACGTCAAGGGTCTGACATTTATCGGGAAGTGCATATTACCGCCAGGGGTATTTAAAAAATTTCCGAACGCAGGTTCTTAGTCATTCCGTCTCTACAGGGGCAGTTGACCCCTAAGAGTTTGATGTAGACGACTGTCATACATGGCCGGGGGCGTGTATCTGGATCAATTCCCTTGAAAGAGTCAGAAAACAGACAAATAAAATATCAAAGCTCCTGAAATATCTTCCAAGGCACCGTCTGCAAATTTCTTTTTTTTGGCAATTGTAGGATGCAAGAGCAGATGCATCTGATGCCGAAGCAGAACTTACTCTGTAACTCCAGAAGATTTCTTTAGTTTAGGTTTTTCTCCAGAAAATATCTTTTGCACGCAATGTTCTCCTCAAAACTAAATAACAGAAAGATAGCTCCTAGTGTAATTCGAGTATAGTGGCATCGTTTGACCTTTTTATGATGGATATATCAAACTGCAGATTTCATGAACTGATAACACCCTCCCTAAAATAAATAAATAAAGACAAAACTATAACCTGCATCCAACCTGGCCGTGTCAGTAATTCTCACTAACAAACCCTAAATAAAGGGCAAACTGATTTTACAAGCTGATCATTTATTCTATGTTTTTAGCTTCCACTGAGCGCAAATGGAACCTCCAGGCTCCTTTCATGTTAGGTAATTTATTCAAACCACTAAAATTGTTTAGTATAATGTTGGCGGCAGAACATCTTGTCAGTACAAAATCTATGGGGACGTTTAACCGAATGAAAATATCATCATAATTGCCATCGAATGTAAAGACTTTTTTTTTTTGGGAAGTTAGAATCATTTCATTGACTAAACATCGAATGTAAAGACTTAAGTTAACATCCAAGCATAAACTCCCACTCCATCTTTTCGGTCGGTCAAAGTTTGCTACTGAATGAGGGGGGACATAGTGAACAAGCCATGAGAAAATGAAAACTGATCAGATGCTAAAGACAAAATACACTTGCATTAATTGCAGCTCAAGTTTATTTGCTCAACAGAAAAGTACATAATGTTAATATATATGCACTAACATTTTGGAAGAAAAATGCTACCATTGTATTTAACAAAAGAAGATATACATGCAAATGTACGAATATACAAATGCCTACTTATTTTCGCGGTGGATAGGCTCCTAATATTAATTGCTTGAATGGCAATTCAAAATTGAACCAAACAAGGGAAGAAATGCAAAAGATACCACCTATAGTGTAATATATGTTCTTATCATAGTTGCTCCGGTTGGATCTGAGAGTAGGTGCCTGACAAGGCACATTCTCAGATCATTTGGTGCAGTAACAAACATATAGAAGGCAAACAGAACAAGATCGGCGGAGGAAAGATTAGAACCAAGAAATCCTTGCCACATCCTGCAATAAAATATATCCATTAATTGTTACATAGTGTAATTTTAAGCTGAGGCCACTCAGGCTTGTCAAACATTTATTTGTTTATAATATTATTAAAAACAAAAAAAAAATCTATTAATATAGGTTTGTTTGTTATGAATGAAGTTATGTTTCTCTATCTAAAGTTTGAAAACTGAAGATTTGGGTGGGCTGTGCAGAGCAAACAGTTAGTTCTCTTGGTTTTCTTAATAAATAAACACCAACAGATGGCAAATATTGAATAGTTAAATCATACCAACTCGGCAAACGGAAGAATGTGTGGAAGAATGTTCTAATGCCACCAATATCTAGTTGCAATATGAGTGCTAGCCCAAAGAGAAAGAATGCCCTCTGCCGTTTCCTTTCTTGTGGCCAAAGAGTTTTCCAAGCTGAATCAAATTAAAATAACACAAAATCAGAAGGCAAAAACCACACATTAGGTTCTTAAAAAATTACATAAAGCACCATAGCATCACACATCACAATGAATATGCCAGTACCCTCAAGAAAAATTCAGCAAATAGAAACACACCAGCCAAGCAAGAGACAAATGACGCATCATAAAGACAACATCCACCAAGGATGCCAATTAACACATCATATTTATGAAGAGAAATTAATAATATTAGTAAACCAGAATATGCATAATGCTCTTGAATAATACCACTGAAATATCTGGTAAACATATATAAACATATAAATACATGCATATGCAGCATATCATTTATATGGAAAACTAATATTTCATTGCTATTATGGTGGTCTTGCTCAAGATGACAGATCTTATTTATATTTACAAAGCATTAAAACAAAAGTGAAGTTCAGAGGCGAAGCGGATAAATCACATAGCATACCTTGCATTGAGATATTCCCATTATTTCTTTCGCTGGTACGCATGCCCTTAGAATGATCCTTCTTCAGGATATTTGCAATTACAGAAGCATAATTTGGAGCCTCTGACAATGATCTGACGACCGAATAACCTGTTTAAGAAGGTTTAGGTAGGCACTATCAAGTCCAAATTACTCAAGGAAACATCAATTAACCCAATTCTATTCTCACCAGTAGCTGGATGCACCATGCTTGCGGCAGCACCAAATGCAAGGTTCTTCTGCTCTGTGTTTGGTAAGGAACCACCAACTGGAATATAAGACCACTCCTGCATAAGATTGAAAGGTTTCAGAACTAATATTTAGTATCCAAGAAATGCCATCTTGCTAACAAAAATTTGGTATTATCTGCAGAAATACATGGAAGTTCTTGAGGCAGTTGGACAACAGGAATGTGAGGAATGAATCAAGATACACCACTCATTGAGAAGAGGAGATATAGACAGGCATTAATTTTATGTAAGCCAGGATTAAGAACAGTGAGCTTTGCACTCCATCATTGACCACAATTATGAACAGAAGCCAACTCAATTGTAAATTATATGCTACCATGATAGAAAGTTGAATACTGAATTCGGTGTGCTATTTTGATAAGCTGTGTTCTCAGATTTTGTACTATTATAATTGGAAGGTGAAATTCTGAATTTGAGGTGCTGTCTCAGATTATTTATAATCATACATGAGGAAATAGTAAAAACGTAACTCATGGAGAAAAGGTGTCATTTGACTATGAAACCTAATAAATAGTATATGTTGGGGATAAAATGAGAATTTAAACAAGTTCCATTTTGTAAACCCTTTAGTAAAAAAAAAAAAAAAGAAATTCATAAAACAAACAATAATTATCATGCTAGAAGGCTGAAGGTCTGCTATTCACGTAGATGGAAATTGAGAAGTTAAAAGTTGACAGTATTCATATGAAGTGGGTTCATCTAATCAATTAATATGAAAACAATCATTAGCTTATAAAATGGCAAGGAGATGATTGACATAAAGCCCTGTTTTGGAGCTGAGCAACAACCAAAAACATTACTTATCCATGACAGTGGAATGTGTTGAGCATTCCACCGATCTGATCATAATTTGGTTACGCAGATTACCTCTTCATAAACTTTTAAAATCCTGATTCCCATGGTCTCTAACCTTGACATGAGCTTCTTCTTTAATAAATCAAAAGGCATGGCATCTTTTGAAGCCAAACAAGTTTCCTGCAGTGCAACTTTCTAAATCATTTTGCATGTTATCATGAAATATAATATGAGCAACAAAAAAATTAATTGCATGGAACAAACCTCAAAGAAAACTCTTGTTGATGATAGGGGCATGGCATAAAGAAATGTTGGATATTGGGCTTCTGAACCAGGAACTTCTTGTTTAGCATAGTCTCTGTAGATCGCATGGTGGCGCCGGCGGTGGAGGGAGCGAGGCCGCGCGTGGACGGGCGATCGCGCGAGGGGGGGCGGGCAAGAATGGTGGTGCCGAGGGGCTGCGGCCAGGACCTCGTGGGAGGGCAAGTGCTGGGCTGGAACAAAACCATCAGGCTAGGATCATAAGGATTGTTCTCCACCTGGCATAATAAGATGAAAATGGTAGAGTTAAAACAAGGTCAAACAAGTATAGAAAATTTTTTCTCCCATCACTCACACATAAGGTAATTTAGGAGGATAAACTTACACACCCACACCCACACCCCCCCCCCCCCCAAAAAAAAAAAAAAAGAGCATAAATATCCATATAATTGATATAATTGATGAAAGGAAAAAGAAACTGCTTCAGTTTCTAATTATATCGTTTCTGATGGTCAAAAAATTAGACAATCCACTGCTTCACTATTATAATAAGAACAGAAAAGCCATATCAAAAAGGTACCACATAGAGCTTGTTAAAATCAACTCAGCACGAGAAGGCCATGCTCCAGTAAAATTAAGATATTTTCTACAGCAGTCAACAATTGAAGTTGTATGATAAATTGGTAATTTGAAGTAGCATATTGGCATATCATACATTCCTACCTCGACCTCAACGCCATAGGCTGTTTGCACAGAGACCCTTGGACCCCCTACCTCATATTGCAACAGTTTACCTGAAGCTGCTCCTGAAGCAACAGTAACAAGCCTGTAACAATACATTAGGAGCTTGGAAGGAGCTGTGATAATAAAAGGTCAAAATTCAGGAATGGCAGTAGGGGAAAAAGAGATTATCCTACCTGCAAGGAACAACACGATTGTGTTCACAGGCTACAAGATTATGACCATCAGTGGCTTCAATAATTGTTTCAACCTTTGAGCTAAGATACATTACACCTGACTCGACACACCAGGGAAATTAATACAAATTATAATGATGGTAGGGTATCCAGAAGAAACAATGACCGTAAACATTATTGGCAAGGAGCTGTGATTACCTCCTCAACAACTCCTCATGGAGCGAGTGTCGACTAACACGTCCATAAGCACGACCAATCATAATGGGCTTATCATCATCAAGGTATACTATTGTATCCCGCCAAACATGCTCGATACACCCTTCAAGTCCCAGATCTGGAAATGACATCAGATTAACTTACATGTTATCAACGTGCATAAAAATTAAAAATTCTCATACGAAGAACTTATAAATATATAAATCAAATTGTAGAAATGCTGAATAATTGCTTGAAATGAGTCTTTAATAATAAAAGAAAAATGAACTGATACCTTTAAATTCATCTTCCCAGACTCCGTAATTATTAGTGAAAGGAAGATCAGGGCCAATTAGTCCAACATTTAAACCAAACTTAGCTGACTCCGCAGCAAGAGCAAGGCCAGCTGGACCACAACCAATAACCACCAGGTCCAGTACGTTATCTCCGATTGATATCGGCGGTAACTGCAAAAAAGCATATATATTACCAGAAACGAACTCAAAACAAAACTCCTGTAACAGAAGTATTTACAAATTGCTATGCATATTAAGCCTACTCTTTAAGTAGTAACAGACAAGAAACCAAACTACGATTGCCCATTCTTCCGATTTCCCACCAAAATTCAAGGCTAACCGGCTAAGGCAAACTACTATTAACCAAACACACGTGACTTTCACGTGTCATAATTGTTATAACTATTTTACAATCTTGATGTCGCACTTAAAAACGCAATCCGAAAAAGGCAGTAATTTCTAGTGGCCCAAAAGCCACGACTTTATCCACCGGTAGGGCCTCCATTCAACCCCGGAAAAAGAAATTTTCCGTATCTCCTAAATTTCGTTTCCAACAAATGAAAATCAAACTCGTCAAAAACAAAAACAAAAAAAAGAAAAGAAAAGTTGAAAACCTTATCCGCTAATTTTGACTGTTTATCCATTTCCTTGTTCTGTTGCATTTGAACGAAGAGAAGTTCAGAGCCACCGGCTTTTATGAAATCTTCTTCGTCAGCAAAATCTTCCTTAACCGCCACGCAGCTCTTGCTCCCTGCTCCACTAGCTCTCACCTTGAACGAAATAAACCGATGATTGTTGGAAAGCGCCGTTTTCGTCTTCATCAGATTTCCCCTCCGTGACCTCCACGCGTCGCACGTAGAAACTGCCATTGCCGCAAAGTACCGAGCTCCGACACACTCCATTATCATCACCTTACGAACAACCAAAAAACTGAGAATAAAAGCGTGCAAAAAAGCTCTCACTTCTTCACGTCATTGCTATTTCTAACTGCAACGAAGTGCAGATTTTGAGAATAAAAGTGGCTTATTTTTTTCCTCCTTTTCTTCGTTTCTTCGTCTTTAATAAAACTGGAAGTGTTTCATTTTTTCTTCCCCGGTTTCTTCAGATTGTGTTGAGTGTTTGTCAGTCGGGAAACTATTCAGGAAGCTCAGGAGATAGGGAAGGGGTTTGTCTGGTGGCATTTAATTTGCTGAGATGTTCCGCTGTCATCAATTGTTTGCCACGTGGATTACATGGATTGGGCAACTCTCTGCAGAAAGGCCACCCCTATCATAATCTGCTGAGCCAAACGACGTCGGTGATGAATTTAATCTCAAATTCTCGATCTTGTCACTCATTAAATTAATATTTAATAAATGAATTATTTTAATTAAATAATATTTTTAATCTATTTTAATTTAATTTAAAATTAACATGATAAATTAATAATTTATTAAATTAATAAAATAATATATTTTTGAAACACATATAAATCTTATTTAATATATAAATTAATAATATTTTATTATCATAATTATATATATGCATGACTCCATTAAAAAAAATTTATAAAATATGATTTTAATATTATTTATTTATTTTTGAAATTGATATCTCTTTAGATTTCATTTCTAACTTTTTTTTATTGTATTAACAAGTTTTGATATGGTATTCTTGTATTATAGAAGAAAATTATACAATGTAATTATTTTTTAGTTCACTTGTCAAGTAAATATTTCTAGCACCTATTGTTACAATTATTTTTGGGTGCAATTTGAATTTTCTTAGTTATACTTATATAATACTTTATGCATTTTATTCATTATAGTTATAATGAGATTATGATTATGTTTATTATTGTCCTTTTTATAGATTTTTTTAAGTTATTGTTTATGAAATGTATTAATTAAGTATATATCAATTATAATTTTTAATTTAATTTCGTTGTGTATTACAGACAAAAAAAATTATAATTTTAGTTACTTACAAAAATAGATAGACTCATGAATTTTATTTAATAAGATTAATTATATTTATAAATTCATTTTAATTAAAGAAATACGTAAAATAATAATAATACATAATTTGATAATTAAGTAATATTCATATAATCATAATACATAATACATATATTAAATTTAATGTTTTAAAACAAATATTCATAAATTAATTTTTTATTAATTAATATATAAATTAATTTATTGATTAATTTATTAATTAAATAATATCTTGATTAATTAATAAATTTTATGATGTCAAGACTATTAATTTATACAGATTTTAATTTTTAAAAAATATTGTTGACAATTAACATGCACGATGCACGTGAGAAAAATGATTTTTATATTATATGAATATTATTTTCATATTATCATATTATAAGTTAATACTAAATTATATTAAACTTTGTCATATTTTTAATTTTATTAATTTTTAAATAAAATAATGAAATTGACAAAAACTTATTTCTTACGTTAACAAGATATCTTCTTGAGAAATATTTTTTAATTTTATTATTGTTTTCCCAAAAATCAATAAAAATATAATAATAAATTCAATAGAATTGAGACATATTAATAAAATTCAACATTAAATCATACCATATTGACAAATTTAACCTTGATCCGCCCTTTTTTTATATATTTTTTTATTTCATTTTCTTTCCTGGTCAATTATTTCCTTTCTTTCAAATTGGTCCTTCTTTTCTCTTCCAATCATGTAAATTTCTTGTAGTCCCAAACATTTTGCAAGTAATTGGTCCTTATTTCATATTTCCATATCTTTTTATTTCTTTTTCTTTTAATTTTTTACTTTGAGTTATCATAAGCGCAAGTATAGAATAAACAGATCATAATTGATTAAATATGATCAAAGGGCATCTAATCTCTATTGTTTTAAGCCTAAAATAAAATCATTCATTTTTTTATTCATAAAATGTTTAATTTTTTTTTCGTTTTTAATTTTTCAAAACATTTATTTGCTTTCTAGTCAAATTATAAATAAAGGGATACATATTTGCATTTGCTTTTCCATATAAAGAATTTAAAACTTTTAAAATTTAAATAATATCTTTTAAACTTAACTTTAATAATGAGGACAATCGGACCTGTCAGTAATTTCAAACCATCACCAAAACTTCGACAAGTAGATAATGATAATGAATGCAATAATTGAATTGAATTAAATGTTGAATTTACCTGTCGCATTGATGTCATCATTATTTCAATAAACTTTTAGTTAAAGATTACGGCTTTTGTGTATATTAATTAAATGTTGTTTGCCTTCCGTTTTGAATGCTTTCTAACTGTCAACTTTTCTTAACAAAATTCAAACGTTATAATATTATTTTAGTTATAATATTTAGAAAATTTCATGAATCATTCAATTTTTTATTATATTAAATTAAATTTTTATATTTTTTATTTCAAATAAAATAAACTTTTATAACTAATCTGTGATTAATGGTTATAATGCCATGTTCTCAACAAAGAGCCATAAATCTTACATCAAAGAAAGATGTTATGATACTAATAAGTAGCTATAAATCATACATTGGTTGTGTACTATAGTGAAATTAAGCATTTAAAAGTTTACACCATCTTTAACTTGTGAGGTATTTTTTGTGAGATAAAATTATGAGATTAAATTAAAGTGAACAATACCTTACAATTTAATATGAACAATAAAAATTGGTATCAAAACAAACTTTAAATATAAACAATTTGACACTGAAGATAATGGATCTTTGTTTGGAATGGTGAAAATAGTGGGCCTTTGTTGGAATGGTGAAAATGTCATATTCTTGAAGGATGTCATGGCATAATGGGGCCATTGCTCCCACATCGACGTGTGAAAATCCTTTTATGACATAAAATTGTGAGGCTGGTTGTGACATGTTGATGATTTATATTTTAAATATAAAAGTATATTTGATAATAGATAGTAATAAGGGTATGTTTAATTCAAAATAAAAATATAAAAATTTAATTAAATATAAATAATTATTTATTTAGATTTTTAAAAAATAATTCAGAGACTTTTTTAAATATTATACCTTTTTTTCTTTTTTATATATGTTTTCTTTTAATTAGTAACTTTTAAATATACATTTGTTTATCAGATCTTAATATTAGAATATCTTGACCATATTTGAATCAAATTAAAAAACATTATGAAAAAATTACATCAATTAAAAATGGATGTAAATTTGATTTATCACATTAATAAATTAATAAATTTAACCTCTATTCTTATTTTTTTATTAAAAAAGGCATACTAGCATTTACTACATTAAATATATACAAAATGATAAAATGCCTAACATGTATGTCTTATGTAGTCAAATTATACTACTCATGGTAGGCAGCAGCAATCTTTTAAAAAAGGGAAGAAAAAATTATACTACTCGTGGTTTTGGGTATGTTGTTTTGAAGTAAAATATTTGTTTAAAAAAATTCATCAATCTTTATAATTCGGAAGGCAGATAATGTTTTTTTTTAATATTTATATAATATTTGAAAAACTTTTTAAATTATTAAAAAATTAAAATTTTTATTTTTTATTACGTTTAATTAAGTTTTTATATTTTTATTTTTGATCAAATAAACTCTTATAATTAATGATTAACTAATTATTATTAATCCATTTATCATTTTATTTCTACGTAACATTGATATTACTTTGATATAAAAAGTGAAAAATGTTACATGATCATATCATCATGCTAGATTAGCATGTTATGTCATTATCAACTATGTTATGTAAGTATATTATGTTATAATTAATTATAACATGTCACTATTTGTATTAACATTACATGACATAAAATGATAAATGATATTTTGATCATATCAATTATTAGATATAAAAGTTCATTTGGTTTAAAATAAAAATATAAATACTTGATTAAACGTAATAAAAATTATTTAAAATTTTAAAATAATTTAGAGATTTTTTTTTAACTATTTTGTCTAAAATATTTTACCCTCGTGAAGGTGTAAGACATTTTCATTAAAATCTAAAATCTAAAATAGTTGGTTTAAGAAAATAGTTGCGTATGACAATGGATACCTTGAGCCAAGAAATACTTCCTCATATATTTTCATTAAACAATCTTATACCTAAGGGAACACGTGATTAAACGCATTGAAACGACAGATTGAGCTTTAATAAAGCATCTAATTGTATTGTTTAAGAAATATTAGAAAAATAGAGATAGTGGTTTTCAATGATAGCAAGATTCCTTTCTGGAAGACAAAGACATGGGGTCATTGCATAGACCAAAGTGCAAAACAAAGAGATTATACGTTCATGCATTTACTACAAGGATGCCAGATGCTTGCACATTCTCTAGAACCGAACGAATTATGGAGGTTTTAGGGCGACCCTCGCCATTGGTTTTCAAGTGCTTGACAGTTGGCACTGCTCTGATTCATTATCGTACAGGTGCAACGTTTCAAGTTACTACCAATGATATTCCGAAGCTGAAAAATTTGCAGCTTCTTGGCTAGCATTTGTAACTATTTCCAAATTTTATTGGGGGTTTCCTCTCAGCCATGCTTTTGCGGGAGAATATTTGGCTTTGATTGAAAGCAGGCAAGAAGGAAAAGAAAGATGGTACTGAAAAAGGAGCTAGAACATAAAAAGGGGATGAGAAAGGATTTTTGTGACATGTGATGAGTGAAATGTTAAATCAAAGCAAGAGTGATGAGAGGATATATGTGTACATCACGTAGTACATTTGTGCGGAGCAAGCCATAACTCCTATTAGTGGAGATTTGTCAGATTCCACACACATGGAGGTACCAATTATTTCATATGCTGTCTGAATGCTTACTTGCTTAAGCTTAACCAAGCAGCAGCAGCAAGGCAGGCATTATTGCTTGAACCAAAACTGCGGAAAATTGCCTGAATTACTCAGCTCAAGGTACCCATCGGATATAGTAATTCTTTAATAATTCAAAATATACGTTGGTAACACCCAATGCTATG